ATGAATAAATGGAGAACCAATAATAACTATTATAACTTAGGATAATCCAGTGCTTATAATAAATAATATATCCAGTGTATATAATAAATCTCAATATGTATGTTGAAAGAATAAATGAATTCTCCATAAATTTACACACAATTAAGATAGATTTGCAAATATAACCCTAGTTAGTACATTAATTGCTAACAAATATGCAAATATAACCCTAATTAGCATGTTAATGGATAACTCTCCTTTACGGATATTACACATACTCTTTTTTGTATTTGTGACAAAAACTAACATACACACATAGTGGACATATAGTGTCAAGCACAGTATCTGCAAACCTTCATTAATTTAGATGTGGTTGCCCCGGGGGAACCTAGCGTGCTTTATCTACAGATGACCAGAGGGACCTACCTTCAGGCCACCACATTGTTCGGTCAGGATCCCATGCCTCACTTCCTCCCTTGAAGTTCTGCAGCCCCTACCACTTTGGGACTAAGCTGCTTGGACAACTTGGATCATAATCTCTACACAGTTGTAATGACTACAGACTTCAAACTTTTCAAAAGAAAAAGGAATCTGGCAAACTATTCAAATAAAAATAAAAAGCTTTCTAAGGTCCAATGGGGTCTTTTCAAGAGGTACGGGTAGTTCTGAAAGGGATGTGAAGAGCAGGCAAGGAGAGGAGATGCAGACAAACATGTCCTATTCCCGCAGGGAGCTCAGCCTTTAACAACAAAATTGAACGGCTCTGAGGCAATTAAGGAGAACACAAAGACTCCAACAAGTGAAAAGCCAGAGAGGACAGGACAGGAACAGAACTAAGAGCTGGGGGAACGGTGGGTGGGTTGTGTCCACCTCTCAGCTCTCAGCATGAATCAGCACCTGACTTGGTCAGGGTTGATATGGTCACTTTCCTAATTAAGACAAGCAAAGTGGTCAGGTGCCACCCTGACTGTAACAAGTATCCTATATCAGAAAATATCTTTTGGCATCCAAATTCATCTAGTAACCTAAGTATCTAGTATCTAAGGATCTAGTATCTAAGAGCAATTTCTGTCCTGGTACTCCAGTCCTTTCTCAAATTTGTCATTCTTCACTCCAGTTCTAGTCTTACACCACCACCACCTTAGCTAGACTCAGAGGTAATGCAACAAGACAAAACCCCTCCAACCCTGCTTAGCTGTTTCCCCTAACAGCAGGGAAAGGCCCTCCTGCCCCAAAAGCTTCTTTCTCCTCCCCTCTCTCTAGATGGGAGGTTCTCAAGCTTCACTTCACACTGGAATCTTGTAGGGAGCTTGAAACACTGCTGCTGCCTGGTCCCACCCCCAGAGATTCTGATCTAAAAGTCGGTGTGGCCTGGACACCTTTTATAAGCTCCCTGGGTGACTCTAATGTGCAGCCAAGGTAAGAACCACTACATTTAGATCCTGAGCTGCAAGTAGCTATCCTTCTGGATAAACATCCTGAGTGTCACTTCACCTATCTACCGAGGGAAACAGGTGACAGAGAAGGCAGATTCTGAATGGAGAAGGGCTGGAAGGCAGATTGCAGTGCTGGGGATGAAAAAGCAGGAGCCAATGTCCCAGTCCCCAAACCCAAATGCCATCACCCCACCCCACTTTTGAGAACATTGCAGTTGTAAAAGTGACTGAAGTACTGATATTTAAAATGAGGACATGTCAAATTCACTGACCAGAGCTCAATAGACAAGGAGAAGTAGAATCACAGAGTAACTATAATCTAGTCATTAGAGCAGTGGTTCTCAAACTCTAGTGTGCCTCAGAATCACCTGGAGGCCTTGTTAAAACAGAATATAGGGTCCTACTCCAGACTTTCTTTTAGTAGGTCAGGGTGGGGTTGAAGAATGTGCATTTCTTGCAAATCAAAACTACACTGAGATACCATCTCACCCCAGTTAGGATGGCTAAAATCCAAGACTCTGAACGATAAATGCTGGCGAGGCTGCGGAGAAAAAGGAACTCCCATACATTGTTGGTGGGACTGCAAAATGGTGCAGCCTCTGTGGAAAATGGTGTGGAGGTTCCTCAAACAATTGCAGATAGGTCTGCCATATGACCCAGCTATCCCACTGCTGG